ATTGTGCAGAAACCCTCTAATGTCCATCAAAAGGGAAATGGTTAAGTATATGATGGAACATTCTTATAAGACATTAATATTCAGTCATTAAAAAGAATGAAACAAGTATACTGACAAAGTTAGATCTCTTAGAAAGTTAGATCTCAAGAAGACTACAAAAGTAAGAGAACAATAAGCCTAGAATTAAACCAATTACATTTAAAGATAATAAAATCTTAATTGCTTCCCTACCTATGTAAAAATATAAAAAAGGGTTTGGAAAAATAACAAATGAATAAAAGAGGTTTACCCAAGGGAAAAGGAGCAAGATAGAAGACACTTCTCCCTTTAACTCCTAATACCTCTTCATGACACTTTTATGATCAGTGTATCTGTATTATTTTTATAAGTGCTTTTTAAAAATGAAAATAATAAATACCCATACACACAAAAAAAGTGGGTTAGATGTTCTTCACTGTAAAAGGCAAGGATCAAGATCTATTCATGGCCAGCACCATCCTGGATGCTGAACATTTACCACAAATATAACATTATCGAAATGTTACATCCAAGTAGCTATTAATGCAACAGGCAATCACTACTTAAAAGAAAAAAATTCCTCTGTGTAGCACTAAATGTGCACAACTTCCTAGGCTGCCTATTACCATAACATGTTCTCTTTTAGTCATGTTAGAAATGCTCATAGTGGAACATCCCTTCTGCATACAACCATTATAAAGTAGAAAAAAAATATTAAAAAAACAAATATGAAAAGACACTAAAGAGTAACAAAAAGCCCAGAGAAACAAGAGTTAGATATCGGAAGTAAGAGAAGGGCACTAGGTAAGTTTCCCATATTTTAAGGATTTTTACCAAAAAGCAGGCTCCAGTCAATAACACCAGGGAGCTAAGCTCAAGTAAGAAACTTAGTCTTACTGGTTGAAGAAATAAAAGATAAAGTTCAGTGCAACTACAACAGCTGGAAAACGAGGGAGAAAGTCCTAAAGAAGAGAGCCACAAAAGGGTGACCTCAATTTCTTCCTAATAACTCTGCCTAACTTTCTGGCTGATCTCTGCATGTTTCAAGCAGCCCAACGAAAGCTAAAAGAACTAAACAGAGGTTTCAGTTGCTGCCCATTGCAGAGGAAAAAAAGGTGGAATTTGAGTTAAGCCAAATTAATAGCCCTTTTGAACAAAGCAATCAGCATTCTTTGGAAGAACATAATGTAATCCAAGCTCTACAACACAGCAGACACCACATGCAGGATGCAGTACAAAATATTAGACATATGAAGAAAAGGAAAATGTGATCTGCAGGCAGGAGTTAAAAAAAAAATCAATGGAGAGTAACTTCAAAATAATCTAGCTGCTGAACTTGGTAGACAGGGACTTTTAAAGCAACTATTAAAACTATGTTCATAATCAATTTATAGACTCCAAGATCTCAGCAGAGAAGCTAGAGGGAAAAAGGGGAATTCCAGAACTAAAAAACATCAGAAATGGGGTGTCTAGGTGGCTCAGTTGGTTAAGCATCTACCTTCAGCTTTAATCAAGATCCCAGTGTCCTGGGATCAAGACCAGCATTGGGCTCCCTGCTCAGTGGGGAGCCTGCTTCTCCCTTCCCGTTCCCACTCCCTCTGCTTGTACTTGCTTCCTCTCTCTCTCTCTTTCTCTGTGTCAAAGAAATCTTTAAGAAAAAATTTTTAGGGGCACTTGGGTGGCTCAGTCAGTTGAGCGTCTGCCTTTGGCTCAGGTCATGATCCCAGGGTCCTGGGATCGAGCCCCACATGGTGCTCCCTGCTCTCTGGGGAACCTGCTTCTCCCTCTTCCTCTCTCTGCTGCTCCCCCTGTTTATAAGCTCTCTGACTCAAATAAATAAATAAAATTAAAAAAAAATTTTTTTAATAAAAATCTTTAAAAAATTAAATTAAAAATAAAAATAAAAAACATCAGAAATAAAAAATTCACTGGATGGGCTTAACAGCAGACTGGAATTGAGAGTAGAAAGAATTTGGAAATAGAAATTATTCAATCTGAAAAAAGGGGGGGAAAGGGTGAAAAGAAAAGAAAAAGTCACTAAGTCCCAGTGACCTGTGGCCCAGTATCAAAAGCTCTAACCTAATTCTTTGTTTTTTTTTTAAAGATTTTTTTTATTTATTTGACAGAGAGATCACAAGTAGGCAGAGAGGCAGGCAGATAGAGATGGGGAAGCAGGCTCCCCGCTGAGCAGAGAACCCAACGTGGGGCTCGATCCCAGGACCCTGAGATCATGACCTGAGCTGAAGGCAGAGGCTTAACCCTCTGAGCCACCCAGGTGCCCCAGCTCTAACCTAATTCTAATGTGAATCATCAATAAAGGAAGATAGGAACATAGAGAATGGGACAGAAAAAATATATAGAAATAATGAGTTGAAAATTGATTAAAAAAATTACTTTTCAAATTAAAGCTCAGTGACTCTCAAATAGGTTAAAAAAAATACATTATAGAAGCAAGATGTGATCGGGAGGGAGACTAATCATAAGAGCCTCTTAATCTCACAAAACAAACTGAGATTTGCCAGGGGGAGGGAGGTAGGGAGAGGGTGGTGGGGTTAGGGACACTGGGGAAGGTATATGCTATGGTGAGTGCTGTGAAGTGTGTGAACCTGCCAATTCACGGACCTGTACCCCTGGGGCTAATAATACATTATATGTTTACAAAAAAATTTTTTTAATTATTTTAAGAATAATTAATTAATTAATTTAAAAAAGAATTCAGATGGCAAAAAAAAAAAAAATTATACTCAAACTGCTAAAGAGCAATGATAAAGAGAAAAATCTCAAAAGCAACCAAAAGGAAAACACATTATATACAGGGAAACAACAATATGAATGATCACTAACTTCCCTTCAGAAACAGAGGCCAGAAGACCGTGAAACACGTTTACAGTACCTAAAAAGAAAAGCAAAACAAAACAAAAAAACTGTAAACTCGACATTCTATAGCCAGTGGAAATATTCTTAAAGTTTGAAAGTTAAATAAAGTCGTTCAGATAAATAAAAACCAAGAGAATTTGTCACCAGGAAACCTACACTACAAGAAAAACTACAGGAAAATTTTTTGACTAAAAAGAAATAGGAAGATATGAAGAAGTAGAAATTGTAAATATGTACATAAATAAGCCCCGTTTGTCCTCCTCATCTTTATAATACCTAGTTATTAAGAGCAAAAACTGTAATACTGTATTGAGAATTTTATAGGATATATAGATATATCATGAGACAGGTAGAGCATAAAAGGGGGAAAGATTAATAGACTACACATTTTATATAGAGTGGTTCAATATTAAAAATAAACTGTGAGGGGCGCCTGGGTGGCTCAGTGGGTTAAGCCTCTGCCTTCAGCTCAGGTAATGATCCCAGGGTCCTGGAATCGAGCCCTGCATCAGGCTCTCTGCTCCGCAGGGAGCCTGCTTCCCTCTCTCTCTCTGCCTGCCTCTCTGCCTACTTGTGATCTCTGTCTGTCAAATAAATTTTAAAAAATAATAAAAATCTTAAAAAAATAAAATAAAAAATATAAGTAAACTGTGAGAAGTTAAGGATATATACATCATAATCCCTAAGTAACCTCTAAAATAAATGCTAAGAAGTATAGCTAATAGCTAAATTAAAATGAAATTTGAAAAAAAAAATTCAATTAACCTAAAAAAAATAGGAAAGGTAGAAAAGAACAAAACACAGGATAAACGGGAAACAAAAAGCAAAGTGGTAGATCTAAAAGCAATTGTATCAATAAATACATTTAATGTAAACAAACTACACATTGCAGTTAAAACCAAAACCCAACTAGGTACATACTATCTATAAAAGACAAATTTTGAATTTGAAGACATAGTTATGTTGAAAGAAAAGTGACAGCAATAGATACACCCTGCATACAGAAAGCAAAAGTATCTGTACTAGCATCAGATAAAACAGACTTCAAGTCAAAGTCTATTACCAAAAATAGCATGATATTTCACATTACAAAGGGGTAATTCACCAAGAGGACATAACAATTATAAATGTGTATGCCCCTAATAACAAAACTTCAAAATACATGAAGCAAAACTGACAGAATTCATTGGAGAAACAGACAAATCCACAGTCATGGTTAGAGATCATCAACATCCTTCTTTCAGAAATTGATAGAATTAGATGATTATGATGATGATGATGGTAGTAGTAGTAGTAATAATAATAATAAATGTCTAGAAAACACCATCATTCACTTTGATCTAATTGACACATAGAACAGATATATGATGGCAGAACACACTTTTTTTTCCCGAGTGTATATGGAGCATTTACCAAAACAGATCACATGCTGGGCCATAAAATCAGTCCCAACAAATTTTAAAAGACTAAAATCTTATAGAGTGTAGAATTACATTACAAATCAGTAACAATAGAGTATCTCTAAAAACCCCAATACTTGGAAATGAAACAAAACACTCCCAAGTTAACCCATCATCAACAAATAAATCACAATATATCTTGAATTTGAATGAAACTGAAAATACAACATATCAGAATTTGTAAAAGCAGGGCTTAGTGGTAAATTTGTAACCTTAAATGCTAATACTAGAAAAGAAGATCCAAAACTAATGACCTAAGCTTTTGGTTTTTTGTGTTTTTTTAAATGACCTAAATTTCTAGAAAAATGTAAAGGAAGAAAATAAGATTAGAACAGAAATTAAAGAAAAAAAGATTAAAAAAAAATAGAAATCAATGGCATTTTAAAAAGACGAACAGGGAAAATTAAGGTAAAACACTGGTTCTTTGAAACCATCAACAAAATTAATAAATCCCTAAACTATACTAATTAAGAGAAAGGAAACACAAATTAGCAATATCAGAAATGAAAAGGATATAGCATTAAAATGATAAGGAAATATTAATAAGGTGAAAAAACATCATAGAAAAGTCTATTTTTTAAGTTCACCATCAAAGCAGAAGCAAAAATATATATAGAAGACAATTAAGTTAACACTAATAGGAACCTGCCACAGTAGAAATCTCTTGTAACTCAGCAAGAGGAGAAGCCGGTTCCGTCTTCATACTGTTTTCTCCCATTGACTTGCAGTTCAATTCCAAGCCTGCAGCCCCCAATCCATCACCAAAGGAGTGGCAAATCAGTGCAGATGAAACCTGGTCAGCTTCCAAAGGAGATTTTAACTGACCTAGAAGAAGAAAAAGAGAGCCCAGGGAATATATACAGATATGTAATCAACCAAAAGTCCCACAGCAGACTAAGATATCCAGGGACTTTTTAGAGGAAACCCACCGCACAGCATACAAGAATACATTCAAAGGTTCCAGCACATACAGTCAGGGCTATGAGCATCTCAAAGAAAAAGGCCAAAAAAAGACCAAAGTAAACAGAAGATTTTCTGGAAGTGTTGAAAAAAAGGCAGAAGCACTGGAGTAAGATGGCACCAGAAACACAGAGAGAGGGACAGGACTCTTTAAGCACTGTACCTCCAACCCAACATTCAGACATATTCAAGTAAAAACAATCACAAACGTGTTCAGAAAGTTTGTCTACTGAATTGCCAGTGAAAAAGTATAAGAAACACTGCAACCCATTCAAAAATTTAATTTCAACAAAATCTAAAACTTGTGGAGGTTGTATATGATTTAGATTGGGTCTCACTAGAGAGGCAAGCTGGCAAGACCATTCTAGAACAGACTCTGACTCACCTTCCTCAGATTCCTTGTTACTGGATGATGTATTTTGCAAAGGATCAATGTTAACCGTATCAACCAAATCTGACACAACCAAGTCAGGATCTAGGATCTCGTGTGTGCCATTAGTGGACAGCCTGGAGGACCGTCTCCTTGATAAGTCCTTGTCAGTGTTTTCCGAATAGGTTTTTGACTTTTCCTGGGCTATAAACCATTAAGAGAGTTATGGTCAAGATCCCAATAAGAAGAAATAACTCTGCTAATACAGATTTCTGGGCTGGTTACCTCTATAAGGGCTTTACAGAAACTTCTAGAATACTAGACCAGTGATAAAAGGAAATATCCTTTCTTAATTTGTAGTTTTAAGTAAAGGGAATCTCTCTGCCCGGAGAGAATCATCCTTATTCACGGTCTGAAAAATCTGTTTTAGGTCATGCCCCAATCTTGACAACTAAATTCTATTTTGGGGCTTCCCAACTTACAAGTTTATGTACTAATCTTCAAAGTCAGTCAGGTTTATAAACCCTTAGAAAAATCACAAATCATTTTTGGAGCCAAAGTATTTTTTTTTTTAATCAATAAATAGCATTTTTCAAGTTTTACTCAACATATGAAAACCATCCCTTCCTAACCCATTAAATTTCCAATGGAAATGTCGTTTATGGGCATGAAGAAGAAACCACTGAATCCAATGTTAATATAGTTTCTGCTTTGGGATTTATTTTTCTTCAAGCAAAACTCTTTCTTATCCAACCCAAACCATCCACATTAGCTCCTAGGACCAAAAACAGCACTAGAGCCTATTTTTGGGAATAGGAAACAACATGAATACAGAGGAGGCTAACCCAATCAACATCAAGTTCTAGTCACACGTACACAAACTGGAGACTCACATGAATTTTTGTCAAGCCGGGGACGTTTTAATGGGACTTCACTTCCTTTCGATATTTTCCGCCTTCTCAATTCCAATGTTATTGGTTGCAAAGTTTGAGAGTTTGAATCCACAGCTATAGTGTATATAAAACCACACAAAAGAAGTTATGTAATTTCTTCGTGCCCATCCCCGATTATATAGAAATAAAACATACACATACACTTGCATGATAAACAGACCCCCAAAGGGCTAATAAGAAAATATAAGTGTAACGGGTGAAACTACTTCCTTAATGACATGCTGACACCCTATAGACGGAACTCCTTCATCTTTTTTCCCTCTTTTTTTAAAAGATGTATTTAAGTAATCTCTACATCCATTGTGGGACTCAAACTCACGACCCCAACATCAAGAGTCACATGCTCTTCCCACTGAGCCAAACATGTACCCCTTCCTTCATCTTTTTTTTTTGGGGGGGGGGGTTTCTCTTATGACCCAGCTCTGTATACACTTCTCTCTTAAAATCCTCTCTTTTAAACACTAAGCCCCAGCAACGCCTAGGTGGCCCAGTCTGATGCCTTCGGCTCAGGTCATGATCTCAGGGTCCTGGGATCCAGCCCTGCATCGGGTTCCTTACTCAGCAGGGAGCCTGCTTCTCCCTCTGCCTCTCTCCTGGGGCTTGTACATGTGCGCGCTCTTTTTCTCTCACAAATAAAAAAATATCTTCAAAAAACTAAAAAATAAAAATAAAACAGTAAGCCCCAACATGACTTAATTTTTTCTTTTTAAGATTTTATTTATTTAGGGGCACGTGGGTAAGTCAAGGCGCCCCACCGGTTAAGAGTCTGTCTTCAGCTCAGGTCAGGCTCAGGTCATGGTCTAGGGTGCAGTTCTGGGATCCAGCCCTGCTTCAGGCTCCCTGTTTGGTGAGGAGTCTGTTTCTCCCTTCCCTTTATCCTCCCCTCCCCCTTTTTAAAAAAAGATTTTATTTATTTATTTGAGAGAGAAGGCGAGAAAGTGAGCAGGAGCAGAGGTGGGCGGGTTTGAGGAGCAGATGGAGAAGGAGAAGCACACCCCCTGCTGAGCAGGGCGCCCAATGCAGGATTCAATCCAGCACCCAAGGATCATGACCTGAGCCAAAGGCAGACACTTAACTGACTGAGCCACCTAGGCACCCACAACATGACTACTTTAAAACATGAAGGTGCAAGGGCAATTTTAAAAAAGTAATTTTTATCACCATCAAATCTCCTCATCAAAATTTGACTTAACCAATACTCAGGAAATCCACCATTCAGGCTAATTCCTAAAATGTGTAACTAGGACTATAGCTTGAGTGTTGTTTTCAATCCCTACTTGCTAAATTAGTTAGGTTGGCATTGGTCCTAGTTATGAGGGACCAAAAAAAATGTCAACATTTATAACCTCTTAAAAACAATTCCAGAAAAATCTCAGGAGACCATGCTATTTGATAGTCAGTGTTCCAGGCAAGGCTGGTGATCCCAACAAATCATCCAGCTCTAACATAATTTAGCAATGCAGACACTAAAACCTTGGATAATATTCACTCTTTATTTTTAAACCCAACATTTAAGAAGCTCTCCCCAATCATGAAAGATGAGAATCCAAAAAACAGGCAGAAGAAAAAAACAAAACAAATGAAACTAGGAAAGCTTGGGGGTAAGGTAGGACTAAGGGGTCTGATGAAGGCTGAAAGGAGAGAGAGGGAGAAAGGGGGAAAGAGTTAAGGGGGTGGTCCGCAGAGGGCAGGGGATTTGGGGACTGTGGAAGAAGACTCACTGAAGACCACTAGCTTCAGATCGGCCATGCTGAAAAGCCCAACAAGAGATGGGCTGAGCTCTGAGGAGGCAAACCTAATGAGTATGCTGAACTCCTTGGCTGTGTTCAATTTTCCCAATGTGCCAACATTATTTTGTTCCAAGTGGTGAGAACTTGGAAATCATACACATTCCAAATTAAACACAAATACAAACAACCCTCCCTAAATAACTCAGATTCTGTTCCAATCGAGTCTGTAAACTTTAGAGAGCTCAATCCTCCACTGGGTCAATGAGCTTTTTCCAAGCAATTTTTAAAGGACATCTGAACTACACAGAAGAAATCTGGTAAGCATTCTTCACTTTGATACCACATACAAACCAGGGCTGACTACATAGAACATTAGTGTTTCCCAAACTCTTCTTACAGTTAAGAATCATCTGGGAAGGTTGTTAACAATTCCAGAGATTCTGACGGGGGAGAAATGCCTCAGGCAAACTTGGAAAACACTATTTCTCTATTAGATCGATCTGGCATGAAACTTACACTTCCAAAATGAAAGCAATAAACTGAAGGCCTCCCCACCTTTTTTAATCTGAGTGAAGTCATGTGGCTTCATAGGGGCAGTAGGCAAAGTTGAATACAACTACCCCAGTACATACTTTCCAGAGGGTACAAGCCAGAGCATGAACAGCTAAAGGGAAATCTGTTTCAGAGCACTCAATTCCCATATACATGCTTTTCTAACCTGAAGTGAGGACACATCAGACTTCTCCCAGGATGATTCAAAGTAATTTTCCACCCCTCCCTGCATAAGTACCGCCTTCCACTTTAAAAAAAAAAAAAAAAAAAAGCCTAACAGTCATCCTACATCTTCTTTTAATTAATTTTTAATAGTACTTTTAATTAACATATAATGTACTATTTGCCCTAGGGATCATCCTACATCTTAACATGGCACACTGCCCAGAGGTTTAAAATCTCCAGACCTTCTCATTTGGAGTTCCTCATTTGAACACAGAACACAGAGGTAAGTTTCTCAATTCTCCCAATTATGGTTTACAACTACTACCATTCTCAACGCACAGAAGACAAGTCAATTCACTACGGATGCTTTGGGCAGTTGGGGTTTAATTCTCTCCCAGAATCTTATAGAAAAAGCCAGTGAATTTAGGCCTCTGCTGTCCGACAGAAATATAACAAGAGCCACAAATGCAAGCCACATGTGTAATTTCCAATTTTTTAGTTTAAAAAAAAAGTAGGGGCACCTGGGTGGCACAGTGAGTTAAAGCCTCTGCCTTCAGCTCAGGTCATGATCCCAGGGTCCTGGGATGGAGCCCGGCATCAGGCTCTCTGCTCAGTGGGGAGGCTTCTTCCTCCTTTCTCTCTCTGCCTGCCTCGCTGCCTACTTGTGATCTCTGTCTGTCAAATAAATAAATAAATAATCTTAAAAAAAAAAAAAACCTGCTTTAAAAAAAAGTAAATTTAATTTTAAGAATGTATTTTAACCCCATACACCCAAAAATATCATTTTGACATGTAATCAGCATAAAAAGTTGAGGTATTTTACAGGTTGGTTTTTTTTGTTGTTTTTTTTTTTTTTTTACTTAGTATTTGAATACCAGAGTAGACTTTACACTCACAGCACATCTCAATTTAGACCACCCACATTTCATGTACTCAACAGCCCCATGTGGCTAATGGCTACCATACCGGACAGTGCAGGTCTAGGCCATAATTAGGCCTAGGGGCAATTCCAGCATGCTCAGCTTTTGCGCACAGTTACAACCACTAAAGGAGGAGATGGCTTAATTCATCTGGGAAGAAATCAAACTATATCTAATTTCCTATCTTTTTTTTTTTCTAATTTCCTATCTTAAAGTTAGAACTCAGATGTTAGAAGGCTGTCTACTGGGAATGAATACGAATATTTATTTGAAGTAAATTAAGGCAGACTTTTTTCTCACAAAAATTAAGTCTGATGTAGCTGCCTGGATTGATAGGATACACTCTGCATTCCACATCATGCAGGACCAGTAAGTGAGCTAACTCTGTGGTTCTGCAGTTCTAATGAAAATCTATTAAATGATTTTCAAATTTAAAAAAAAAGATATTTTAAATATATCATTTGCAGTTATATAAACTTGTGAGGAAAAGTAGATACCATTCTAAAATGTACTAAAGGTGGGGAGCCTGGGTGGCTCAGTCATTTAGAGTCTGCCTTGGGGGGGCACCTGGGGGGCTCAGTGGGTTAAAGCCTATGCCTTCGGCTCAGGTCATGATCCCAGCATCCTGGGATCGAGCCCCGCATCGGGCTCTCTGCTCGGCGGGGGGCCTGCTTCCACCTCTCTATCTGCCTGCCTCTCTGCCTACTTGTGATCTCTGCCTGTCACATAAATAAATAAAATCTTAAAAAAAAAAAAAAAAGTCTGCCTTGGGCTCAGGTCATGGTCCCAGGGTGCTGGATTAGAGCCCTGCATGTGGTACCCTGCTCAGTGGGAAACCTGCTGCTCCCTCTCCCACTCCCCCTGTTTGTGTTCTCTCTCTCACTCTGTCTCTCTCTCTAAATAAGTAAATAAAATCTTAAAAAATAAAACTAAAAAATAAATAAAATGTACTAAAGGATTAATTTTTTCAATATTCATGCAGGAAATATACAAGCAAGAATTTGTAAAGACCACTGCCAGATTATCCTAGCCAGCATTCAAACTAGAGATCCTAAGGCTTCATCATGTCACTGAACTGACCGAGAGAAGGAGTGTTTGATCTAGAAAGAAATTCAGGATGTGTTTTATTCTTGGATATTCCTGAAGAATTCCATATTTCAACTTTTTAAAATAACCATACATTCTTCCTTAAATTTGTACCCTTTAACCTTAACTCTTACCAATTAGCCATCTCAGTTTTTTCCTTGGACTGTGAAAATGTCAAACCCATAATCACTCTCCAGATAGCTCAACTTCAAAATGCACCATGCCTTCTTAGATCCAGTGTTCTCTGATCCAGGCTCTGTCAGACACCCACATCTAATTACTTCTTCCCTATTTCATGTCTCTCAGGAAAACTATTATTTCCTAATCCCAGGTTCTATTAAGCTTACTTAACCTGAGATCATCTGAATGGGCACAGGCGTAAGGCCTTAGCTTATTAGGTTTTACCAAATAAACTGAAGCAACTCGTGGACAGTTATGTACACCCCAGAAGCTTAGTCAAGGACATGTTTTGCAACTTACATTCATCTTGATACGTTTCCTTTAAAATTCAGCTCCACAAACATAACTTATTTTCAGATCACAAGATGATTCAAAGTCAATCATAAAAATGGAAGAACTTTAGAATGGAAGTGATAAAGAAACACCAAAGCCACAGAACACTCTGGCATTGCCCAATGCAGACCCCACTTAGGAAACTCACCAGTAGGAGCTATGGAAGGGGGTCTGCCTCGTTTTCTTTTTGGCTCCCTCAAGTTTTCTTGTGGACTCTTCACAATGTCATTTTCAGGTTTTTTATCCACTTGAGCATCTCCAGAATACTCTCTGTCATTTTCTGAAATGTTCTCCTTATCTTCCTTCTCGTTCTTGGGAAGGCTCTTCTCTGACACCTTACCCTTTTCAGAACAGATTAACTTTCCTTCTTTATCAGGCTGCTTGGGACGCTTTTCTGTCTTTAAGGCTTTGTCCTCTTTGTCTTTCTTCACATTGACAGTGGCTTTTCTTTGCTCTTTAAACTTCTCTCGTTTATCAGGAGACGATGGAAGACTTTTGTGATCTGTTTCTTTAGGCCTAGCATTACCCACAATATTCTAAAATGAGCAAAATAGCAATGAAACACACTTTGTGATTACTTGCAAATATAAAATCAAATGGTATTTTGCAAACTTATGAAGACAAACAAATTAAAACAGGACATATGCTGTGTCACATAATGGAAAGAACCACTGAAAATATTGATCCATACTCTGAGGCTTGAGAACCAATCCTAAATTTAAAAGAAACAACCGTCTCGTTCAATTCCTTCTGAGACAGAGTGATTTCCCATATTTTGATTATTAATAACTCACTAGATAATTAAAGGGACAGAAAATACCCCAGGAACAACTTCTGCAAAGCAATCTTTCTGACAGAGGTGTTCTAAGAAAATGCCCCAAGTTATATCCTCCTTGTCCCAAGCATGACTACCCCGACCCAGGGCCTTCCAGAGGCCTGGCTCAGTTTGCCAGTGGATGCTGATGCCCTTTGTGGAGAAGAACACAAACTAGTAACTGAAGGCTGAACAGGAAAGCTATAAAGATTATCCAACCCATGGAGCACCTAGGTGGGCTCAGTCTGTTAAATGTCTGCCTTCGACTCAGGTCGTGACCCCAGGGTCCAGGGATCGAGCCCCAAGTCTGGCTCCCTGCTCAGTGGAAGCCTGCTTCTCCCTCTACTCCCAGCTTGTGCTCTCTCTTGCTATCTCTGTCACTATCTCTCTCTCAAATAAACAAATAAATTCTTAAAAACAAAACAAAACAAGACTGTCCAACCCAGAAGCAGGGTTTTTGCTTCCTCAACTGGGTAAATGCTGTGCCCAGTCCAGCAAAGGCACCAACTATACTCTGAAGCTAAGTTTTTGTCCACTAGACAGAAGTCCTACTTCTTGGTTACTTTCCTCCTAAATAACTTCTAAAGAATTAATTCTAAAACTCCTGTGTCCTAGTGGGACACAGCTCTGAAAGCCAGCTCTGAATGCTCTGGAGTTTCCAAAACTGCAATTAAGTCTGTGGATGTATTTCTCTTCCAAGACCTCTACAGAACAGCAGGAAGCACATATCATGTTCATATGGGGGATCCCCAGCAACTAGAACATGCTAGGCACACAGATCTCTCCCAAAAGCTGGAAGGAGTGCCTAAATACTCAGTGAGTGAAGGTTTACTTTGTCCCAGAGGGAAAAATAATAAAACAAAGAGAATCCCTATGATTGGAGCCTAGAAGGAAATATTTTTTCAAGCCCCCCAAATTTTCTGAAAGCAGGTTTGAGAAGAAGCACTCCTCAGGAACTGCTGGCAGAACTATGAATTATAACCACCTTGGCAGGAAAGAGAAGCATTCTCAATTCGTGCCAAAAGAATTAAAAGTTAATACTTTTGAACTAGAATGAATTCCTAGAAATGGAACTAACAGAATAATCAAATTTGGACACCCAGATTTACAAATATCCGTATAAATGACTTTTAGGGAACTGGTTACACACAGAACAGTTATATACATATTACAGAATACTAAAGAGCCAGCAATGCCATATTCCCATACACTATTAAGAACTTAAGAAAATGTTATTCTGGGGCACCTGGGTGGCTCAGTGGGTTAAAGCCTCTGCCTTCAGCTCATGTCATGATCCCAGGGTACTGGGATCAAGCCCTGAAACATGCTCTCTGCTCAGCAGGGAGCCTGCTTCCTCCTCTCTCTCTGCCTGCCTCTCTGCCTACTTGTGATCTGTCAAATAAATAAATAAACTCTTTAAAAAAAAAAGAAAAAAGAAAATGTTATTCTGTTAGAAGAGCAAGATATAACCCCCATTTTTTTTAAGAAAAAAAAAAGGGAGCAAAATATGGAACAGTAATATACTATATGACCCCAATTTAAAAAATATATACAAATATTTAACAAAAAAAACACAAAAGGATATAGCCAATACATTAAGAGCAACTATATTTAGACAACAGAATTATGTCATTTTTACTTTCTTTGTGCTTTTCATAGTGTCCAAATTTCCTATACCTTATATATTATAACTTCAAAAAAATTAATGTTCCTAATATATAAATTATCGAAACATTTAGAGCAGCACGATCACACAGAAAAAAACCTCAAATCTATTCTAATAATATACTAAAAAAGCCTTAAAAATTGTCTATGACTAATATTTTTAAGAAGTTAAGCTTTGGAGGCACGTGACATCCACTCACTGTCATGGTCGGGCCAGGGGCTGCATTCCATTGCTTGGGCACCTTGTCTAGAGCTGGGGCCTTAGGCTTGGCCTCCTACAGGACACAGAGCACCCAGTTTTCAGATGCCTACAGGAGGGAGCTCTTAGACAAGGCCAAAAAACACCACTTCTTACACAGCCTGGTCCTATTATGGGTGCCCTGTTGTAGAAAGCCCCTTGGGGCTGGATTATGACTAGCCTCTGGAACCACCTTATTCTGCACCAGCTTTACTACCAGGTTGAGTGAAGATGCAGTGTCCAGACTTTGGCTCCTGTGGGAGGGAGCCTACTAATCTTGGCCTGGCTTGCCTTGGCTCTTTGAGCTTCCTTGTATTTAATTTCTGGGTACTTTGTTTTTCCCTTAAGATTTTATTTATTTAACAAAAAGAGAGACAGCAAGAGAAAGAACACAAGCAGAGGGAGTGGGAGAGGGAGAAGCAGACTTCCCGCCGAGCAGAGAGCCGGATGTGGAACTCGATTCCAGGACCCCGGGATCATGACCGGAGCCTAAGGCAGCCGCTTAACGACTGAGCCACACAGGTGCCTCTTAATTTCTGGGTACTTTTTTAAGAGCTGAAACAGGGAAGGATTAAAAGAGAAAGGCAAATTTTCAAAAATAATTTTTTTAAAAAGTTAAGCTTTATGTAGCCATTATGGAACCCTAGATCCTTAGGGCTGAGGAGACCTGAGAAGTCATTTATACAAATACAACACTGTCTTGGAAAAAAAACATACACAAGCAGGAACTGCGGGCCTATACCTGATCACCCACCAGATCCGAGATGAGGTGAGACACTTGGGGATAACTGGGAATTGGGAACTGAAGCACCCACCAATCCACCAGATAAGATGCTCATCTCCAACCCAAACACCACAAGTGCTGTTAATCAATTTATTCAGTACAGCAGAGTAAACAGTTGAATGTTTGTTATCTGGAGCCCTGGACTTCCATTTGGGGAGGTTCTAGATGCAATCCGACAATTCTGAACAAGTTCTTATCTACACAGTCCTCTATCTGTATTAACTCATTCCACAAACTCAACACAAAAACTGCCAAATTTAAGGCCAAAATAACATTTTTTTAAAGATTTTATTTATTTATTTATTTATTTATTTATTTATTTATTTGACAGAGAGAAGCACAGCGAGAGAGGGAACACAAGCAGGGGGCGTGAGAGAGGGAGAAGCAGGCTTCCTGCTGAACAGGGAACCTCTCATGCAGGACTCAATCCCAGGACCCAGGGATCATGCCCAGAGCCAAAGGCAGATGCTTAACGACTAAGCCACCCAGGTGCCCCAATAACATTTTTTTTTTAATTTTAATTAAACTCTATACTACATGTGGGGCTCAAACTCACAACCCTGTGATCCAGAGACACATGCTCTACTGACTGAGCCGGCCAGGAACCCCACAAAATAACATTTTAGAGTACTGTATAGCAGCTCATTAGATGCCTGAGGGGCAAATGATCACAGAGAAAACAACTTCAGGGCTAAGGCTTTATAACTGTTTCAGTTTTCTTTAAAGGAAAACCAGCAAAAGGCAAAAACACTCTTAAGGCAACCTTTAAAGATATCATGAAACATAACCCTCTGAAATTGCTAAATATAAATACAGAAGAATTTACTCTAATTTGTGATAAATAGAGGCATTTGATCATAAGACAAGACACAACAGGTTCCAGCATCACCAAATACTATCACATCAACAACTACCCAAAAAGGTAACAAGTAGTAACAATCAGAAGTTTTAAAACATCAGTATCCAAATTTTGATCCTGCCCTCCCAACTATTAAGGCGTGAACACGAAAAAGACCAAAGGAGAAAAAAATATGAAAAAAATAGGCAACATTTTCTAGATGGCCCATATTTCCAGTATCAAAACTCCTGTCTCATGCTCAAGCAAACACATGCGTGGTGACTGGAACAACAGGAAACAAAATTTTCAAACCAGGCATATCTAGCACAAGTGATTGCCAAATTCATACCAAACTATAGTTCTGAAACCACCAAGTCATGGTCCTGAGCTGAAGGACAGAGTTAGATGAGAAGAAAATACAGTCTAGGTTTCCTCAAGCATTAGCAAGTTCCCTATGATGAATAATACCTCTGGGTACAGGGCACAGGGAGAGAGAAAAAAAAAAAAAGAACATTAACCATACAGTTTTGAGAAAAGATGAGTAAAACAGATTAACAGGAAATGGCAGAAAGAGATAAATATTAATAATTTCTGAAAACTTGTGTATTGCTTTCTAGTGAAATTGTGTCAGGTGAAGGAAATAAAGATTTTGCCACCATAAACAATGTAACATCTTTATTTGAGAAACAGAACTACAACGTTAGCATTATTCATACTACAAAGCACAAAACCACATTTCTCACCTGATCTTTGGAAAAAGCTTTGACATGAATATGTTTGACAGTCTGAACTACTCCATCATAAAATTTCACAGTGTAAGTACCTAAAATTCAAGAAGATGTTATGATTTAACTTACAGTTTCATGAAAGCAATAAAACTTTTCAAAGCATAAACACAGGGAGTTCCAACCACAATAATAAATGTATGAGAACTAAAATATTAAGAAACACACACAGTCTTATTTATGTTCAAAATAATAGCCTTCATTTCTTAGTCAAGATTACATAGTAAGTTTTCTCTTTATCCATACAGATCAAAATCCATCTGCTTTTTGATGGAAAAAAAGAATTGCATTGAATTTATTAGACCAAGAAAAAAGAGCAGTAAAACAACTAAGAACACGAGGAAAATGCAGTTTTATTTATTGCTTGGTGAATTATTAATTTTTATCAATCTTTATTTTCTGGGCTTAAGAATGATAATATCTTTTAAACTTTAAAAGAAACACGACTACTTACTAAAGGTATGTTTTCAGAGGTCACATTAATCTCATAACCCATATGAATAACCTTCGTGTTACAACATCTGAACAGACTTCGCCAAAATGCTAAGTGGTACCTGCTACATTATCAGTTTTATTCCAATAGGAAAAGAAATCTAACAAAAATCACTCTGCAATAAGACTGAAGCTGAAAATCCAAATAAACTTCTTCCCAGATAAGGCAACCAACTACAGTACATAAGTTCTCACTAGTTGCACTTAAACCAACTCTCTCAAAATTATGCATCTTAGAACCCACCTCTCCCCCCACCCCACTTTTTTTTCTTTTTTTAATTTTTTTTGGTCCCAGGGATTAAAAAAAAAATCACAGTTAATCTTGTCAAGATTACCAGTGAATTTACTGGTAACCACGTAATGATTTACTACTGGTAAACATGGTCAGTTTTCAGGATCAATTTCCCATCAAACAGAGAAGGAAAAAAAAAATCCCTGAAAGTAAAAGAATGCAACAAGGAAGCCTAAGACCTTCTAGCTAGCTACCTCCTTCTTACACATCCTCTCCCCTCCCCAACTTACCCCACCCCTCTTCACCCCTCTCCATCCCACCTCTCCTCCAGTCCTAAATAGGGCCCTGCCAATGGCTAGCCACCTCTAATGAAAACATCACTGTAGTGTTCAAGGTACAACGCAATCTTAGCCCAATTATCTTCCAAACGCTGTTTCTCATTACCAACATAAAATACCCACCAACTCAAAGTGATGAGCTACTTGCCACCCAATGAAACTGCCTTGTGCCATTTCCACCTCCACATCTTTATCAAAGTATTTTCCTGCCTAGAATGTGCTACTCATTGACCCTTAAGCACTCAGCTCAGATGACCACAATAGTTCTGTAAAAGCTTCCCAACTTCTTAGCTAGAAAGCTTTTTTCCTGCTCTGAACTTCTCAAAGACTCACTTTGGCACCTTGCCTGCAGGGCCTCAATTAGGTCTATCTTCATATAGAAGGCAGACCCCAAATCAAAGGCAGGCTCTCCAAGGCCAGGGACCACAGCTCACATCAATTTCTCTCACACAGCATCTGGTTCACTGTAAACCAGGGTTTCTCGAAGTATCGTGCTCAGACCAGCAGCGTCAACAACTCCTAGGAACTTTTAGAAATTTAAGTTACCAGGACCACCCCCAAAATAATGAATCAAAAACTCAAAGAGTGCAACACAAAAATAAATGCTTGTTTTAACAAGTGTTTCAGGTGATCCTGGTGTATTGCCACAAATAATTAGTAATTACCTACTGAACTTTACTCCTGGTAATTACAAAATAAAGTTGATTATCTGTCACAAGTGTCACCAACACAGAACAAAGTGACTAGCAAACTAGATACAAGGATATATAGTTATGCTTGGTTGGTTAAAACAAGCAATAAGACATCAGGCTATGATAAAGGATTCTACATAAAGCAGCTCAGCAATGACTAATGAGTTCTTACAACAAAGGCCTGGGATCCTGTCTTCCTGCCTCTATTTGGCAAGCAAAGAAGCAATGATAAGCAATGGTATGGAACTCTAAACATACCCTTCACAAGCAACCATGACATGGTTCTGGCCAGCCTGGGGATGGGGGCATTAAGAACCCAACTCTCATGAAATCTTAAATATCAAGTGTACCAACAAGACACCCAAGCCTATACCTCTTCAACTATTTGACCAAGAAAGTAAGTTAGCATCAATTACATCAAAATGAAAACTATCTATTTTTATAGACATTTCAGACATCCAGAAGTACATTTTTAGTTATCTGAGGCCAATTTTGAAGCTTACTCTTGATGGCAGGCTCAAAATGGAGGCCTTAAATGAAGGGATGTGCCTTGAGTTCCAAAAAGAGCTAAAACAGAGCTAAGAAGAGCTGGGAGTAGAACCTAAGCCTCTCTGCTGACCTCTAATCAATTCTTCTTCCACCACCCCAAACTGCCTATTCCTCAAGTCCCTCAGCCTAAAGTCCAAACCACAGAACCAGAGCATCAACGGCCATTCTGAAATGACCCACACTATAGCCAAGGGTACTCAGGAATCACTGTCCTTAGACAGTAATACCCTGCCCCTGACCCTTTTTACTTCCAAAGAATCAAAACATTCTCCCTTGATCATGTACACAGCCTAACTTGGGCTTCAATAAATCAGAAGGAAAAAAACACCACATTCCACGGACAATGGTAGCCTAGGCCCACTTCTGGAAAGAGGCCCCAAATCTACTTTAATGGTTCCCATACAACTAAAAGAACATCTGGGGTGCCTGGGTGGCTCAGCTGCTTAAGTTTGCCTTAAGCTCAGGTCATGATCCTGGAATCTGCTGCTTCTTCTCCCTCTGCCCCTCTACCAGCTCATACGTGTGTGTGTGTGTGTGTGTGTGTATGTCTGTGTGTCTGTGTGCCTCAAATAAATACATAAAATATTTTAAATAAAAATAAAAAATAAATGTCTTCTTGTGGATTCCTCCTGTGGGTAGCTGACAACAGAGCTCTCCCATAGCCACAGACAACATCTAAAAATTAACATGTAAATGACAGAAAAATAAATGCATCCTTAACACAAAGGCCCTCTGCCTCAGGCTCCCTTAGGAAGCCCCTGTCCTTACAAATGCCAGGTGAAACAAAGCTTCCTGGTCTTGCCCCCTTGGGAACAGTTATGAACTCAGCATATCAGACAACCTTAGAGCAGTCAGTAGGTGCAGAAGGGGTATAAGGAAAAAAAAAAAAAAAACAAAACCTAGAGATGCACAGCAAGCTGATCTATAGGACCAAGGAAATAGGGAAGCAAAACAGGTGACTCTGGACAGTTATCTGTTGTTCTTGAAATCTACCATAACTGTGACTCAAGGAGCCTTTCTCTATCCCACTCACCTCCAAGAGTCGAAGAACTCCAGAATGCCATGAATAGGAGACTCAGTTTTCAAACATGGATTCTCAAAGTCTTGAGGTTCCTGTACATGTGCCTCAGGGGGCGATCAGACGAATATGCACGTGTTTGCAGGTATACCTTCCCCTCCCCCATCTTTTATTCTTAGCAATTTTACTAATGCGCTTAAGTTCTGCAGCCAACAACTTCTAAAAATGTTCATCTATTCTTTTTTTTTTAAGACTTTATTTATTTATTTGACAGAGATCACAAGTAGGCAGAGAGGCAGTCAGAGAGAGAGGAGGAAGTAGGCTCCCCACTGAGCAGAGAGCCCAATGCGGGGCTCGATCCCAGGACCCCGGGATCATGACCTGAGCCGAAGGCACAGGCTTTAACCCACTGAGCCACCCAGGCGCCCCAATGCTCATCTATTCTAATTCCTTCTTCGAGTTCTAACTGCTCAAATGAGTCCAGAGAACAGGTGGCAAGCTGCCAGTAATCACTGAGCAGGGACTGGGTGCACACACACAGTGCACACCTGCTGCTGACAACTCCTGCCATTTTAGGACAACTCTGCCCTAGAGTGGCAGCCTGGAACCGCAGGAAAGGCAGTTCAGGAATTTTGAAGCCCCAAAGACCTGCATTCAGTTCACAGCTCTACCATCCCTGTACGGGCTCTGTAACCTCAAGCAACTTCTCCTGTGAGCTTAATTCCTCATCTGTAAAATGACGGGGTTGATAGCAACAACCTTTCCATGTCTGTGTGAATACTCGGGGTTGATAGCAACAACCTTTCCATGTCTGTGTGAATACTAAATGAGATCAGATAAGGACATTGCTTAGCAAAGGAACTGTTACAGAGCAAGGGATCAATAAGTGGTTCCAATTATTACCATTCACCAATCACTTTAAAAGGGAAGCACAAACCCCTTCCCCACAAAGAAGGTAAGAGCCACACTAGCATCTGCGTGTGTAGGCCTGAATCTTCCTTTTATCTCTGTGCAAAGCTGTTCACAGTCCTAACATCCCCACATTTCAATTGCAGGATCAGTTACAGCATGAAGAAGACAGAAAATAGTAACTGCTTCAACAAGAGACTCTAGAAATAAGGCCATTTCCACAGAATCTACGGTTACAAATGCAGACTTCAGGCACTGGACCGAAAATTGAACTGAGGGAACGGGACCACGTGACCTAAGAATATGAATAATTTAAAGGAAGAGGGACCTGATTTGCCTATTTGCTCAAGTTAAAGAACCACAGATCAACAGGAAGGTACAATTCCTCATTTTGTTGAAAATGCAAACCTACTTTCAGTTTCCCCCAGAGAATGCCTTGCAGAGCAGCAGGGTCCAGGACTGGGGACACAAAGCCCTGACACACAAGTGGCTTCTGCCATCCCCAGTGTAACAAAGGGGAGCTGAGCAGCCCCAGCAAAGAGCTGAGGTCAACTCACCAGAGATGGCTTCCGAACAAAGATTCCCTAGAAGCAGAATCTCATCCTTTACTCCAGCAGATAGAGGGGCTAACAAGGCTAACCACGTGTGGCTGCCTTCACATGAAATGATGCTTTAATTGCCACTGCCAACGAATTATTCCAGGTGAAAAGAGCTATATAACATTGCACCACCGTCCCCAGTTTCCATGTGCTTAATTACTCCCTTAAGAAACTCTAAAGTTGGGGCGCCTGGGTGGCTCAGTGGGTTAAGCCGCTGCCTTCGGCTCAGGTCATGATCTCGGAGTCCTGGGATCGAGCCCCACATCGGGCTCTCTGCTCAGCAGGGAACCTGCTTCCTCCTCTCTCTCTGCCTGCCTCTCTGCCTGCTTGTGATCTCTCTATCAAATAAATAAATAAAATCTTTAAAAAAAAAAAAAAAAAGAAAAGAAACTCTAAAGTTGCCATTTAGTTGTGTTTCAATCATGCCAGACTCCCAACGCCAGCAGCCTTAAAGCTCAGCCTTAGGAAAACCACCAAGGAGGTTAAGAGTGGAAAGAAAATGAGGCCAAGCCTTCCAAAGATTAATCTGTAGGGTGCGACTTCACTATATGCCCGGCTACTCCTGGCAGCACCAAGAATGACTTTTATGGGAAATAAAGGAGGCATCTTGCCAGCAGAACTTCTCACAGTGCTGAGGTTGTCCCTGCTGCAGATGAAACTGAGGCAGAGCAGAAAATACCAGGGAAAAAGTGGGAAGGATAGTCCAGCACTGTCTCTCCCCATCCTGCAACTACTAGAATCATACTGAACTAGAAAATATCCACCAGGTCCCATGAATAACATCTAACAGAAAAGCAGCACCTAAGAGTCATTATCTCGTCTCAAAACCGGGCACAAAGCTGAGCTCACAAATGCTAGCTTTCCTTCACACTGCTTCAATGTAGCAATAATACCACCCAGCAAATTCCACTAACTTTCAGGATTTCCCCTCCCCCACGCCCTTCCTCTCCTTTCCCTTCCAATTAGTCTCAGGACCAGTGAGGACTTCAGACTCAAGAACTCTGGGGAAAACTGGTTTTCTGGCAGAAATCTCCACTCATTTCAAAGTCCTTCAATAAACTAAAATTCGTTGGACCGAATTCAGAGTTTACAGAATCAATATTATTAGAGTGACGAATGGCCATTTTAGGGACAATCATTACCTGAAGCTCTCCCATAATTTTAGCTCATGGAGGAAATAAACTGAAAATATTTTTTACAACTTCCAAAGCTCTGGTTGCCCCAGTTTAAAAGACATTTAAAAATCTTAACAATGGCCAATAATTTGCCCAATGACTTTTAGTCCTTAAATGATTATTTCAAAAAATTCCAGACCCATCCACAAAACAAATAAACAAACAAAAACAAAACCAGTAACTGCAGACAGGGGTCCCTGCTCCTTAAGATTTATCTGCACCATTCTGTTCCTGTACTGCCTCCTCCTGGTGGCTATACAGCAACTACTTCACACTGCCTTGAACTAGTTTTTGTTTGTTTTTTTCCCTTTAAATCCATGATGCCCAGCTCTGGCCTCCGCAGATATTAGATGTGAACAGTAGGTTCCTAAGCCTCTACTGCCTCCATCAAGACACCACCCAACCCCACTCCAAAACTGCTCCCAGGGTTCCCCAAACCCTTCTTCCACAATTTGCCTTTTCTCCTTTGCCACTTCCTCATCCAACCCGCCTTGGCCTTTCTATCATCCATATTAACTCTGGGATATTACTGGATCAAAAGAAAAATGTTGCTTCCTTTCTACAACCTCCTTTATCTACAAAATTACCATGTTACTACTCACAACTTTTATTTTATGTAAGGGACAGCCACTTCCCCAAGGGAGCACACCTCCAATGGATATTATTCAGGAGGAGACTATGATTGATAAGCATAAATCAACCTAACAGACTTGTAGGAACACATCTATGTACATATGAACATCTAGATTTCATATATGGTTTAAATCCAGTGAGAGGAGAAAACATTGCTAATCTTGAAAAGAAGGCTCTAAAAAAGTAAACCAAGTCATTCCCTAAAAGGCAGCTTAATAACATGTAAACTTTCCTCTAGAATACATCTTTAGGCTAAAGTGATACACATGAAAAGTAGTAACAGGGGATTTATTTTGAACGCAAGATTATAAAAGAAATTCAGGGAAACAAGGACTATGCAAAAAGACTTCATCAACCATGAGCTGGAGTATCACTAACTGTAGACATCTTTAAAAATACAACCTTGCTTTGGAAGCCTGAGGCAAGAGGATTGTGCTTTAAGGATAACCTACAGCTTAGCAGAGTTAACTCACACTGGCATAACAGCTAAGGGGGTGGAGGTGGGGTGAATGTAGCCGAAGAGATACAGAAAGTTCTGCCATATGCAAATCTATGTTCATTTTTTACCATTTCAACCCATTCTCAGACAAAGCTTGGTCAGGTCCAGCATCTAGCAGAGCACTCGAATACTTAATAACTTCACTGAATGAAGAGCAATCTGGTCTTAGAGTCACCACCAGCAGTGGTACTAAAAGGCCTGACTGCCCTAAACATTCACTGAAGAGATCATGGACATACCACAACCAACCTGACAGAAAATGCACCCCTCCCCCCACACCCCCACCAAAAAAAGGCATCGCTTGGACCCAGAGTCTACTCTGTCAGGATGCTGACCACGCATATTATCTTCTTAACACTCCTTTTTGCTTTGTACTAGCAACATGAGCCTCTTTGGGTCATACTGCCAGTCTTGATTCCTCAGATTCTAAACTGGCAAAGGCATCCCAATTCAGTGCTCTAAATCCCAGGACCCCAATTTCAACTAGCAGCTTTGATATTACAGACCACCCTCAATCATGCTGCATCCACAAAGCATTTTTTAAGTAGGCTCCACACCCAGTGTGATGCCGAGATCAACAGTCACAGGCTCTACTAACTGAGCCAGCCAGACACCCCTCACAAAGCATATTTTTGAGAAATGTTCATTAATGTCCACTTCATTTCTAGGCTATTCACAAATAATTAAAAGGAATATTAAGGCTTATTTCATCAATCATATTAGGAACTCCCAGACAAAAACCAGCTCGCTTAACAGCAGAGTGACAGATGAACCATAACTATTTTATGAAAAACTATTATTAAAATTTAGGAGGCAAAGAATCAAATTCCTCTTTTTAACCCAGCTTTGTCTCCATTTATAATTTCCTCCTAATTCCTGACATAGTGACTAACTTAAAGAGAGAGGATTCCTAGGCAATAGATATATTCTGAAAATACACTAACAGACTCTAATATTACAAACTCCCCCCAATCCACGAATAAAAAAAATTATAACTCAAGTGCCTTACCATCCTTGTTAACAGCAGTGACTTTGGCTGGGTAAAAACGACAATCGGACCAGCAAGCAAGGACCTGTTCATTTATTTGAAATTCCTAAAAAGCAGTAAAAACAAAACAAAACAAAAAAAGACCTGTTACCAATCCAATTTCATCAGACATAACAGAGTACCAGATTTTGTTGAGAGAAGCTGATTGACAAGAGTGGGAAGGGGTGATGGCTGCTGGGATGGAGGAAGATGTTTCTGCTGTTCAACAGTGGAGTCAGACCAAAAGGGCTGAACACAAGACTCCTCCTATCCTAGGAAGTCTGGGCAGGCACAGCAAAACACCGATGATAGTCCCTACCCTGTGCCTGAGCCCAGGAGCATAACGCGCACACACTACCCAGCATACAAGTTGGAAGGAGGGAACATACCACTTGAGGGAATCAGCATTCATGCCACCTAACACCACTCACATTTTTAAAGGGACTTTTGCCAAAGGAAACACCCATTCACTTTTCATACTGTTTTTCCAGCACACAGTTTGCACTGATACTGTTTGTAGAATGAATATTGGATAATCAACTTGGACAACAGTAAACAAGTCTTTTTTTTTTTTTTAAGATTTTTATTTATTTATTTGACAGAGAGAGAAAGCACACAAGCAGGAAGAGAGGCAGAGGGAGAGGGAGAAGCAGACTCCCCACTGAGCAAGAAGACCAACATGGGACTTGATCCCAGGACCCTAGAATCATGACCTGAGCTCAAGGCAGACGCTTAACCAACTGAACCACCCAGGAGACCCAAAAGTAAACAATTCTAAATGAGGGTGGGGACGGGGGGAGGAAGGACACACATAGACAGCAAGAGTTTAAGCTTCCTGGCCAGGGTTAAAATGAAAAACAGACTGGGGGTGAGTCAGATTCAAAGCCTGCAGGATTTCTACAGATTTCTCAATGCCGGTTTAAAAAACTCAAAACTAATACTTCGTTTTTCATTCTGAAATCAGTAAAAGCTCCAGGCATAGCAATGAACTTTAGAAAAAGGAATACAGTCCAATTCCACGATTTGCAAAAGCTTTTTTTTTTTAAGGTAGACTCCACTACCTCAAACTCACAACCCCAAGATCAAGAGTCACATGCTCCACCAACTAAGCCTGCCAGACACCCCTCAAGAATTTATAAACAGGTTGGCTCAGTCAGTTAAGTGTCTGCCTTCGACTAGAGTCATGGCCTCAGCGTCCTGGGATCCAACCCCACGTCAGACTCCCTGCTCAGCAGGGAGTCAGTCTGCTTCTTGTTCTCCCTCTTACCACCCCCAACTCATGTGCCTGCTATCTCGCTCTTGCTCAAATAATTAATAAAAAATTTTTTTAAAGTTTATAAAAGACCCTGATATGAGGCTCCACGTGGAATGATTACTTAATAAATGGTCGGACAACAAATAAGTATAATAAGTGATCTCAAGGGATACAGTGGTGTAAAAGAAAGAGATAAGGTACCCATTCATCCTCAGGGCTTCACAACCAAATCAGTTTATGAGTTGTCAGATCAATCATATCATACAGACAGAAGATAAACGAGATTCTTCAAGAGCCCCAGGCACCACAGAGACCTCAGGATTGCAGCTACAGGCCTAAATAAGGATTGAGTCCCCAGCTGCTACTGACTTTCACACTGAACATCAAAGGCTGGAACATAAAGTACCCAACGGCTGACCCAGCTCCTTACAGATGTGATACTCACAGAAGATCCTTCGTCTTCATGTAAGCCCTCTTTCCTTAGCTGTATTTTCTCTAAAGGGCGTAAATAAGGACTGTCCCAGCAGAACCACTCATCATAACGATGGTTCCAACGCTTGAAATGGATGAGTACTTTTCCTTCTTCGTAGTCAATGTCTTCTATGTGAGCTGGATACCTGAGTCAGAAAAAAAAGTTAAATGCCTTTCCCACCCAAAATATCCAGAATAGTACCCTTCCAAACCTCTTCCCAAAGGACTAGCTTACCAAAGTACTAAATAAAGCCTATCATTTAGAGAATGTGTAATTGTGTCAAATCACAAATTACAGAGGCTAGCAGACTTAGGGTTCAAATCCCAACCTGGACATTCTTTAGTTTATGAATTATTAAGTTGACTTTCCAGAGCCTGAGTTCTGTCATGTAGAGTAGAGGAAGGATACCCAGCATACCGGGTTACAATGCAAGTTAAACAAGATGACATACATACACACAAGACAGAGCACAAAGGAAGGCAGGAAACACACATTTAACAACTAGATTATATTTTACATAAGCCAATAAATTAGAATGACCACGCAACCCAGACTGTATGAGACAGCCTCAATTTAAGAATTGTATAATCCATATAGAATACCATGCAGCTGTTAAAAAAATACAAAACAAAAACCACAAACGGTTCTATGTCATGATGTGGAAAGCTCTCACAAGATGAACTAGTAAATGAAAATAGCAAGGTACAGACATTGTGTATGGTAAGCTATTGTTTATTTTTTTTAAAGATGAAACAGGAGGGGAGCCTGGGTGGCTCAGACAATTAGTGCCTGACTTGGGCTCAGGTAATGATCCCAGGGTCCTGGGATGGAGCCCCATGGCAGGCTCCCTATACCGTGGGGAGGCTGCTTCTCCCTCTCCCCCTGCCCGCCGCTCCCCTGCCCATGTGCTTTCTCTCTGTCAAATAAATAAATAAAATCTATTTTTTAAAAAAAAAGGATGAAAAAGTATGTCATATATGTAAATATGCATAAAAATATCTTACACAAGCCTCTAACAAGGGTTACTTATAGAAGTATGGCCACGGCAACAGTTCAACAGTTCACCCTCTTTCTAGACTAAGAGTTGGAAAAACCAATGACTGTATTTCCCTGACTCCCTAACAACTGGCAATCAAGGTCTTGAAGACCTGTGGGTTTAGAGGCAACTGTAGTGGCCAAACCCAGTGCTCCAGTGCAGGGCCTCTCAAACTTTCATCTAATGATGCCAATCATCAGAGGATCTGGTTAAAATGCAGATTCGGATTCAGCAGATGAAGCTAGGGCCTTCGAGCTTTTAACAAGCCCCTGGGGATACTGATCTACTAGTCTGCAGAAGCAAAGATCTAATGTCTAGTTACTGGATTCCTAAGTATCAGGCAAACGTTGAGGGTGGCAGGGGCACTGGCAGCAGTGAACTCCTGACCTCCAGGACACAGCTCCAGCGGTGGGTCCCTCACATTGATACTTAAGGGCAGCAACTGTGAGTCCCACTCCTCCAACCCTTCCAACAATTTCGTAAATACCCAATGTTCTTGTGTTAAATTCTTTTGTGGTTAAAGTACCCAGGATGGTTTCTGTTTCAAGCATTAAAACCTAACCGACACAGGAACTGAGTATGGAGGAGGGGAGGAGCAAAAGCAGGAGGGAGACGTTTTGTAGTATACCTTTTAATGCTCTTTATTTTTCAACCATATTACTGTGTTGCTCATTCCAAAAATAAATAAATGGGTAACAATAAAGAAAAATAAATATTGTTTGCAATTACTCTCTTAAATACACTTGTATTAATCAGATTGCTATTCTAGTTTGAGAAAGTTCAGATTCTACCTATATTTTCTCCCCACAACCTGGATTTGTACCATTTCTGGCCCTTCTTATATCAATCACCTAGTACCCCACCAACCTAATAAACATGTGCTACCTTGTGTCTGTACACTATGTCCTCTTCAGTCCTACACTAGTAACCTCTAAGGCAGTGTGCTTACCGCTTAACCTATCACAGTAGCTTGCAGATACTGGGCATTCAAAAACTGTTGAGCAAATGAATTCTGCTTTCCCTATTCTTCCCAAAGGTCAGATGTCCTGTCAATTCTTCAATCCCAAAGCTCTTAGACTCCAGCTACCCATTCCAATTTGAGTCACTCTCCCCGTTCAGGCCCCCATCACTTTGTGTGGGTACTTTGCACACAGGACTAACAGGTTATGGTTTTCAAAATTCCAAATGGTACTCTCCATACATTAAGTGCCCAAAAAATGTTAACGGAAGGAATAAACAGCCTTGAAACTAGTGTCTACTTCAATACAACTGACATACAGCTGCTACAAACATAAGCTATCCTGACAGCAGGCCAGCTAATTGTATGATCTACTGAACTGTGAAGTACAACTGTAGGAGACAAAAGGATTCCCTAAACCTATTCCTCTCTATACAACTTAGAGAAGGCGGGACACCTGGCTGGCTCATTGGTGGCTCATGGGAGTCTTAATCCTGGGGTTGTGAGTTCGAGACCCACACTGAGTGCAGAGATCACTTAAAAACAAAATCTTAAAAAAAAAAAAAAGGGGGAGAAGAACATGGATATCTCAATTATATTCCTCTTGCACAGGGCCTGGGCTCAATTGGTTAAACGTCTGCCTTCAGCTCAGGTCATGATCCCAGGGTCCTGGAATTGAGTCCTGCATCAGACTCCCTGCGTCTGCTTCTCCCTCTCTGCTCCTCCCTCCAAATCCCTCCCTGTGTGCTCTCTCTCAAATAAATAAAGTCATTTAAAATATATATATATATACACACACACACATATATTCCTCTTGCCCTCTCATTTGTTCAGTCTACCAGAGACTAGCGAGCCTCCCTAAATTAACAAACTCTGACCTAAGACACTCCTATTCAAAAGCCCTTTCTTTAATGATTTACTGTATCTAGCAACAGTTTTCAAACATAAGTCTTTGGACCAACACATGGGATTAATTTTTCACAGAAATAAATTTATTTAATTTGCAGAACTTGTCTTTATACTAAATCACATTCTTTCTAAATTTTTGGTGCATAAATACTTCCTAAATTAAAACAGTGGTAACTTTGTTTTTAATACTCTTACTAATATTATGGAGCCATTAAAAAAATTAAGTCAGCTCTCTATGTATCAATTTTAAAAGATCTCTAAGAAAAGTGGGAAAAAAAACCAACAACTAAAGATGCAAAATGGTACTGAATACACTACCATTTATTTGGGGGAGAGGAGAGAGCCAATACATCCGTACCTGTTTTTAAATGCGTGGGCTATCTCTGGAAGGATGATCAAGCAACCCGGTTTGCATCTTGGGAGGGGAACTGGATAGTTAAGGAACTGGAGAGGAAGTATGAGACTTATTTTATTCAATGTATATCTTTTTGTATGTTTTGAATGTCGTACCATGAGCATGTATTAACTATAAAAAACATATAATTAGATATTTATTTTAAATATCCTTATTTGGCAAAATTAAAAGCCAGCAACCTCAGGACAAACACCAAATTATTTTGAATTTGCACTGGTTAGTGCCTTCTAAAAATCTGGTAAGTCCAGATCCACGGAATCAAATCAAATTCCTAGGCTAGCAACTCCAATGCACATACTCAGGAGTCTGAAGAAGGACCTCGAGGTCCTTGGCTATCCTAAAGCCCTTCCTTGCTCAAGTAACTTCACAGGACACAGGCATCCTACTGACTGAACACTATACAAATCTCTCCAGAAGGTCAACAGTAACCACAGGGCAAGCAAGATTTCCTAAGGAGAAGGCAGTTTTCCCTACTTTCCTGAAGCAAGGCACTCATGGAGGATGGGGAAACCCAAGTGCATTTCAGTGAAGAGGTAAGACTTGGTGGATCGAAATTGCTAGTTGTCTTAGAAAACAGCTCAGCTTTATCAGTCAACAGAATATTAAGTGACTTTGATCTGCCCAGTCAATTCCAGGTCTTGAAAGGAATTATAAAACGTGTGTGTTCCGGGGTGCCTGGGTGACTCAGTGGGTTGAGCCTCTGCCTAGGGCTCGGGTCACGATCTCGGGGTCCTGGGATGGAGCATCACATCGGGCTCTCTGCTCAGCAAGGAGCCTACTTCCTGCTCCCCCTCTGCCTGGCTCTCTACCTACTTGTGATCTCTCTCTCTGTCAAATAAATAAAATCTTTAAAAAAAAAAAAAAAAAAGTATGTATTCTGACTTTTGCCCTTGAGGACACATGAAGCAATTAAGTTTTTAAACTATTAGGTGAAATCACATAAAACAGCTGATAACTACTTTTTACCTACAAAAACAATTAATTTCACCTGGTGCAACCTAAATATTTGGACAACCATTAGGGGTGCTGGAGAAGATGCCACAAGTTAACAAAAAAGGCGTTGTAAATGGAATCTGTATAGACACAAAAAGGGAGAAAGAATTTCCAACTTCAAAAATAACTAACAGCCACTGATGACATTCTAGTTTCCAAACTAGCATCGCAGCTAGGAGCCACATTTCTAATGGACATATTAGCCAGAAAGGAAAAGATACCAAATACCAAACTGATAACTAAAGTAAGCTCTAGGGAGGGAAAAGGTACTAGACTTGGCCAAGAGACTTAGTCTGAATTTTATTTTTTAAAATTTTATTTATTTTTTGAGACAGAGAGAGAGTGCAAGCAGGGGGGGAGAGCAGAGGGAGAGGGACAAGCAGACCCCACTCTGAGCATGGAGCCAGACTCGGAGCTAGATGCCACAACCCGGAGATCAGGACCCACGCCAAAACCAAGACTCTGAAACTTAACTGACTGAACCACCAGGTGCCCTGTAGTTTCCATTTTTACAAGGATTTAGTCACATAATACTTGTGTAAGGAAAAATACTTTTTTAAAAAGTGGGCTCCATGCCCACCACTGCAAGGCCTGAACTCATGACCCAGAGATTGAGAACTGAGCTGAGATTAAGAGTGAGACAACCAACTAACTGAGCCACCTAGGTCCCCCCCAAAATAAATAAATTAAAAGTTCTGAGAAGTATGTAATGAGCAGACTTTCAACTAACAGCTTCATGGTTTGGGGATTTTTATGCTGCTTGTAACATCCACAAAATAGAATACTATGCAGCTATATAAAAAAAGAGAGAGAGAGAAAAGAGTGTGGGGGAGGTTCAGTTGGTTGAGCGACCAACTCTTGGTTTCGGCTCTGGTCATCACCTCAGGGTTGTGAGATGGAGCACCAGCACATCGGGCTCCACGTTCAGCACAGAGTCTGCTCAAGACTCTCTCTGCCCCTTTGTCCCTCGCTCTAAAATAAAGAAATCTTAAGAGAGAACACACTCTGTGAATTATATAGGAAGATTTCCAAGACATGTTTTTTTTTAAAAGATTTTATTTATTTGAAAGAGAGAGAAAGCATGAGAGGGGAGAGGTCAGAGGGAGAAGCAGACTCCCTGCTGAGCAGGGAGCCCAATGTGGGACTTGATGCCAGGACTCCAGAATCATGACCTGAGCCAAAGGCAGTTGCTTAACCAACTGAGCCACCCAGGTACCCAGATTTCCAAGACATGTTAAGTTTAAAAAAGACAAACTACAGAATAGTTCATATCTTATGATACCTTTCTTGTTACAAAAGAGAAAAGTAAGAATATGCATTAGTTTTTGTTTATATTTAGGTAAACACTAGTAGTATGGACAGAAACTAATAAAACTGGTCACCTATAGAGGACAGAGCAGGTATAGGATAAAGATGTGAAGCAATTATTCTCACTGTATACCTTGTTACACTGTTTTGATTTTTGAACCTATTCAAACTCTATCCAATGGATTATCAATTAATTCCCTTGCATTTCCCAGGAGGACTATCCTATCATATTCAAATTATGACTATACTATCTCTCATTCAATACTGATATCTACAGTATATTTTTCTTGTTTTACCAAACTGATTAGTGCTTCTAAGATGATGCTGAAAATTAGCAGATAGTTGGCATCCTTCTCTTTAATGACAACGTCTCCAATGTTTCATCATTAAGTCTGAAGTATGTCAAATTTTCTAATTAATGCCCTCAATGTGAAGTTACCAAGGATTCATCAAGAATAAATTGTGAAGTCAGGAAATGACAGATGCTGGCGAGGATGTGGAGAAAGGGGAACCCTCCTACACTGTTGGTGGGAATGCAAGCTGGTGCAACCACTCTGGAAAACAGCATGGAGGTTCTTCAAAAAGTTGAAAATAGAACTACCCTATGACCCAGCAATTGCACTACTGGGTATTTACCCTAAAGATACAAATGTAGTGATCCGAAGGGGCACGTGCACCCGAATCTTTATAGCAGCAATGTCTACAATAGCCAAACTATGGATAGAACCTAGATGTCCATCAACAGATGAATGGATAAAGAAGATGTGGTATATATACACAATGGAATACTATGCAGCCATCAAAAGAAATGAAATCTTGCCATTTGCGACAACGTGGATGGAACTAGAGGGTATCATGCTTAATGAAATAAGTCAATCAGAGAAGACAACTATCATATGATCTCCCTGATATGAGGAAGTGGAGTTGCAACATGGGGGGTTTGGAGGGGAGGAAAAGAATAAATGAAACAAGATGGGATCGGGAGGGAGACAAACCATAAGTGACTCTTAATCTCAAAACAAACTGAGGGTTGCTGGGGGGAGGGTGGGGTTATGGACATTGGGGAGGGTATGTGCTATGGTGAGTGCTGTGAAGTATGTAAACCTGGCGATTCACAGACCTATACCTCTGGGGATAAAAATACATTATATGTTTATAAAAAATTAAAAAAAAAATTTTTTTTAAAGAATAAATTGTGAGACTTTTAAGACTTTGTTAAGATGATTATACAGCTTTTCTCTTTTACTCTATGAATATAATGAAATAACAGATTTGGGGCGCCTGGGTAGCTCAGTAGCTAAGCACCTGCCTCCGGATCAGGTCATGATCCCAGGGTCCTGGGATCGAGCCCCACATCGGGCTTCTGGCTCAGCGGGAAGCCTGCTTCTCCCTCTACCTCTCTCCCGGCTTGTGTTCCTTCTCCCACTGTGTCTCTCTCCATCAAATAAATACATAAAAATCTTAAAAAAAAAAAAAAAAAAGAACAGATTTCCTAAGTTTAAGTTATCATTACCCTGTAAAAATACATCATATTTGGTTGTGTGTGTCACTCATTTAATAAGTATCTGGTGTCCTAGTATTTTACTAACAAGTTCTGTGTCTCTTTCATAAGTAGTATTTGTCCAAGTTTCCTCATAATATGTCCTTCCTGCCCATTTTTAGTTTAATGCTATGCTGCCTCATAGAAAGTACTAAAAAGCTTGACTTCATTTTCTATTAAACTGCCTACTCTGAGGGGCAACTGAGTGGCTCAGTGGGTTAAGCCTCTGCCTTCGGCTCAGGTCATGATCTCAGGGTCCTGGGATCAAGCCCCACATCGGGCCCCCTGCTCAGCGGGGAGCCTGCTTCCCCCCCTTCTCTGCCTGCCTCTCTGCCTGTGATCTCTCTGTCAAATAAATAAAATCTTAAAAAAAAAAAACTGCCTACTCTGAGACCTTTTCGAGATAATTCTTTATCTACCTTTTCCATCACTTCTATGGTTACTAATCAGATCATGTTTTCTACCTCTTCTTGAATTAATTTTGCCTAAATAAGAGAGTTTGAAATGATCATCAGATACAATTTAAATGTTCAATAGTTTTCCTTAAAAGAAAAGAGCTCAAGACTCAATAAAAACATTGCAAACTCAATTCACACATAGGATTTTTTTTTAATAGGTTTTATTTATTTGTCCAATAAAGAAAGACGGGGAGAGCACAGGATGAGGAACAGCCGGCAGAGGGAAAAAAGCAGGCTCCCCAATGAGCAAGGAGCCCAATGCAGGACTCAATCCCGCAACCCTGGGATCATGTCCTGAGTTGAAAGCAGGCACTTAACTGACTGAGCCACCCAGGCATCCACAAACAGGATTTTTAAATGGCAAATACAAACACTACATGCTAAGCACTTTACAGGGCAGAAACTACTCCCTATTAGTTCCATTATTCAACAAACATTCCTAAATGTCTAAATAAATAAATAAATAAATAAATATATATATATATATATATAATTTTTTAAAAGATTTGTTTACTTATTTTAGAGAGAGAGATTGCATTGAGGAGAGGCAAGGGAAGAGGGAGAAAGAAACTCAAGCAGACCCAGCGCTGGGTGTGGAGTCAATGCAAGGCTTGATCACATGACCCTAAGATCACAACCTGAGCTAAAACCAAGAGTAAGATGCTCCACTGACTGAGCCACCCATAAATTTATATTGTGAGACAAATGGTTAGG